GCCCAGCAAACATTCTTTGGGTTACTTCAATGATACTTTATCCTTTTGTAGGTCATCAGTGTAACATTTCTTTTTACATGTGCTACTGTTTCTAAATTTTACTGATTTTTCTGCCCTTCTTCTATTTTCTTCTACAGGAAAGAGACTTACTGGTGTCATCTTTACAGTCAAAAAGTGGGAGCTGCTGCCAAGTTTGTTCTGTGATCACCTCCTGCTGAGCACCAGGTTAGAAATGCATATTTGTAAATGCTAAAATTATCTTAATTCAGGTCTAAAAATTTTGCTCAAGCTGTTTTCAAGTTTTTTAAAGTTTATGAAAGCACTGTTTCATAAATGGAATTTATGGCTGAAATAATATTTAGACACAATGGACTAAAAAAAATTAGAATTGGTTTTGATTTGATTTGGTAACCTAAATTTTTCAATTGTTTATACAGAGTAAACAGATATTTTTAGATCTAAACACACTATAACCTACTAAAATGTCTTCAGTTACAATAAGCAAGTCAAGTATTAGTTGCCAGAACTCTAACCAGAGTCAAGTCATGGAGCCAGTGAAATGATTTGCAGTGCATCTAGAATTGGAATTTAGAGACTTTTCTGTCTGTGCTGCTGTCTTGTATATCTCAGTTCAGTGACTAATCTGTGATAGGTGGGAAATGTTACACCTCTCCAGTTCTGTAAGACAATGAGATTTTGTTGGCAAATTCTGCTGATAAATAAGCAGTTTAACACATTAGGCTAATCCATCTTTAATATGACAAAATATGCTTCTGTAAATGTACTATTCTGTTGGGTTAGAAACTGAAATAAATTATTAAATACAAAATTAATTAGAACTAGCTATTGCTTTTCACTTCCTGCGTAAGATTTGTTATTCAATATTATTTCTTAAATGTACATAGGTAATATCCCTCACAGCTTACGGGAGTTGCTGTAGTTGCAGGAACAACCGGTTTTATGGTTACCAGTTGTAGAGACTAAGAGTTTCTTAAAATAAACGTACAAACACGATGGATTAAAATAATAATTTTAGTAGTTTAAATCTACTTCTCAGCTACTCTTCAGCCTTCATTAGTGTCATGGAAGATGAGTCATTGTGGGTTTCAATGGAGGAGTATCTACCACAGAGGGGTAAAATGAAATGTAGTTGGCGTTTAATTTGTGTTAACATTGTGACTGTTTCATTGAAGCTATTTACCATATGCTTACATAATGGCTTTAAACAGCAACTTAACCTTTCCAAGGAAATCCTACAACTTGATTTGAATTTTATTGTAGTTCAGGATAAAAAAGTATATACACTGTGTGCAGCTTTTGCCTGCACTAAAGAAGCTTGGTTTCAATGACTATCTGAAAAAGAGAAGCATGACCACTGACCCTTGAATAAACTCCTTTTTAATTCATACTGTGCCAATGGAGCTTTAAGAAAGTACTTACTGTTAGTTGAGGCTGCAGTTGTTGGGTTTGCATGTTCTGCAAAATCGGGAGTGAATCAAATTAAACTAATAGCTTGACAGTGCATTAAACTGGGAGAATGAAATTAGCAAATAGAGTGAGTATTACTGACCCATGTGTCTTCGATATTGCTTGGAAATTATCAAAGTAGGAATTAGATAATCTTGTCTAGTGGTAGGTGCAAATGCTGCTTCTTTACATATTTAGAAGAAGATGAAAATATTTGCTTTAAACATACTGAAAGAAAGCCTATTAGTGTCTAGCTAGTAAAAATACTAGCAAATTTCTGAAGAAATAGTGAGATGGCATTCATCTTAAACTTGAGGGCCTTAAATTTTTAATATACAAAGCTAATTGCTTTTTTATTATTCAAGTCCTTCTGCATAATTCCTTTTAAAGGAAGGCCATTGAATTAGTATTGTCAGTGTAGTCTGCTGAAGTCATGTATATAATTCTCTTGTGTGTAATGGAACATCCATTTGGAGGACAAAAGTGTTTTGGAAATCATACTTGCTGTTCTCAATTGCTTTTATATCACCCAAACAGGCTTTGTTGTGTTATATTAAAACATGTCCAAGTAAGTTCAGTTTCTGATGCTTTACTTTGTGTCTTCTATTTCCCAAATAAAATAAGCCAGTAAAAGTTTCTAATTTCGGTAAGCCTTGGAAATGTCTTGGTTTGCTGAAAACAGCTGTTAAAAAATATATTAATTAATGGTTTTTTTGCTTTATTTATTTTATGACTGGGTTTTGTTATACAAAGATAGGAAGTTGAAAAAGCCAAGTAAGCTAGATCATGTTCTGTTAAAGCTGGGACAGAATCTGTACCTGGGTGTCCACAATGAAATAGTAGATTGCTTTTCAGCAATAGAAGGTGAAGAAACTGCAGAGAAAGAACCATTGGTGTAATTTTTTCACTTGGGCACCTTAACAGCTCTTGTTCCTGGATATTGCTCCTTTGAAAGTTGCAAGATACAAAAGCTGCTTTTTGCTGCTTTTTTTTTTCTTTTTTTTTTTTTTAAGTAACAAGTTGCATTGATTGGAATAATCCTGCACTAAAGCAATGGCACATGCAGCACTGGAAATGTACTAAATGCCTGTACTGTCACTAGTCTTCTGACTATATACACATTAAATGTTTACTTTACAGTATTTCTTTTAGTATAATGAGTTCATTAAAAAAAGCTTTTGATGCTAATTCAGAAATCCGTGATCTGCTTAGTGTCTTTCACATGTAGTTTTGATGATAACTGACAAGCTGTAAGTTAATTAGTGCAGAACTTACTAATGAGGATGCTAAAATCCTTACTTTAACATTTTTATTGATGATTTCTGAACAAATTGAGGTAAATTCGATTGTATATCTAATAAGTTTTAGGAACTTTCTGGCTGTAGGTGCTGATCATAAGTAACAAAAATCCCCCAGTTAATTGAATGCTAGGAAAGTTTTGAGAAGTTTGACAAGAGTGCTCATCTTCAGAAATGGGGATAACCCAAAACCAAAGCAGTAAAACAAAGTCTGTTAATTAGCATGGAAGACAGCTTCTTGAATTAATATGTGGTGTTAATTAACAGGAAGTCTGATGTTGTGTTGTAATTACCACCAATATTTTTGACATACTGAGTGACTGAAGGTGAATTATATAGATAACAATTTAGTAAACACTTCAGAGCTTGGGAACATTTTTCCTTTGTTTCTGTTTTTCTAGAAATATGGATAGACTTCTGCGACTGGGAGGAGGTATGCCTGGGCTGGGACAGGTTAGTATATAGCTTGTCAATCTTTGTTTCAATATTGATTAATTCTGGAATATTCCTTTTATTATATTTAAAAACAGCATCCAAAAACCCCCAGAATTCATAGTAATAATCTTTGACTCTAGAGATCCTATATGTGTATGCAAATCATTGTTATAGCCTGACTTTCGGTCAGTATGAATTCTTGTGTTGGGACTGAGTTTACAGAATGCTTATAAACCTTTCATTTGGTGTCTGAACATGTTAAATTGAATTGAATTGAAAAGCATAATAAAATATTTAAAGAATCAATTTCCTACAATACAGAATTTCAGAACGTGAGGAGTGCTCTAAAGAGCTGAGCATGTCCACTGCTCCTGCATAAGTGATGTGTTTCAGTCCTTGGATCACATTGTTGAAGGGAAGTTGCAAGATTCTGAAGTATGTGTAAATTTCAGGAGGTAATTTGACTCGAGTATATCACTTTGAGGTAGTTATAGCGACCTGTATGTGTGTTTTATTGTGTCTCCTGTTGTTCACTGTTGTCCTCACTTCTGTAACTCTAATCACAGCAAAAAGACCTCTGGCAGCTGCCCTGTTCCAGCGGGAGACCTACTCATGTTGTATGGCTTCTCCTACCACTACGGCAAGTCCTAGTGCTTTTTACCATGGCCAACTGGCATGGCCAGCAGGCTTTGAAAAGAAAGCCAAGCTGATTTTATTACATTGTGCTAATTACTGTGGATACAGGGGAAAAAATTAATTAGAACTTCTTTGTCTGAAGTTCCTAGGAAGAATGATTTCCTGAAGGAGCAGGCTTCTGCGTCACTTCCTTTGTAGTCCCGGCTGGCCGCAGTAGCTGGCTGTTCTCTGCCTTCCTCATCTGCCTCCAGGGCTCTGCTCTAAGTCGAGGATCCAGACTCTTGTTCTTCTGGAGGAATTGGTTCTGTGTGTCTTGGCCTTTATGATGTGTGTGCAAGGTTGCTTCTGGGATGATTGAAATTGCTAAACCCAGAGCTTTTGGTTGTGTGTAGTGTGTTTGTGTCCAGTATAATTACAGGAGTGGTTTAATGCTGAAGCATTTGGTGAAATATTCTAGGCTGATTTACAGACTTTAGGTGTTTTGCCAAATAAGCTGTAACTTTTGGTGCATAATTTTTTTCCTTTTTATAGCTAAAATTCTATTCACGCTCTTAGTGAATCTTCAAGCCGCCCTCAGTTATTTTTAGTTTCACTTTCTTAAACAGTTATTTCTCTTGTTCCTCTGAGCTGCCAGCCTGCTTCATGACTCTTCAGTTTTTTAACATCTGCGCAGTCTAATCTCTCAAGCTTTCACTTCTTAGTCCTCTCTGAACTTGACGCATATCAAAGCTGTTTTTAAAATTTACAGTTAACTCTCTGCTGTTTTCTGAATTTTTCATCTTTAATTTAAAGCCTGATAGAAATCTGTGGTGGGCAATGGAACACAACATTCAGAAGAAGCTCATGGAACTCCTCTGGTTGCTTTGGCCTGCAAAGCTGCTTTGTGTTTGTTTGAATATGGAATTGTCTCTTAAATTAACTGATGAGTATATGTTGGATTTAAAAAAAGGCAGAAAACTGAATTGCCCTTTAGACAAGTTGGTGCTTTCACTGGAAGTCTTGACTTGTGGTGGGCAATGGAACACAACATTCAGAAGAAGCTCATGGAACTCCTCTGGTTGCTTTGGCCTGCAAAGCTGCTTTGTGTTTGTTTGAATATGGAATTGTCTCTTAAATTAACTGATGAGTATATGTTGGATTTAAAAAAAGGCAGAAAACTGAATTGCCCTTTAGACAAGTTGGTGCTTTCACTGGAAGTCTTGACTCATTTGTAGCCTTTTATTGAATCTTTTTTTAGCTTCTCAAAAATACTCTTTTTATGTCCTTAAAATGCAGCGTTTCAATGGACCTTCAGAGGTTGCTTCTGAGTATCAATCTCAACTGAGGTTGAGAGATAATCCAGAGTGAATCAGGTGGCTTCAAGTTAGAAGAGAGAAGGCAGGTGTTGGATATACTTTTGTCCTGCTAGACAGTAAACAAAGTCCTTATCATTTATTTGCACTAAAGTGTTTTATACAACTCTACAAAGCTTTTTCTTATTGCTGTGTCACAGTTGTTCTGAGGTTGAACATAGTAAAAACATCTGAGTGAGTCATTCTTGCTAGCCTAAGAATCATCTGTGTGTATAGCCTGGTAGAAAAAATAAGCATTTTCAAAGTAATTTGGGTTGCTTTTTGCTTTTTCCCTTGTAGCTAAGGGTCTGCCTGGCAGGAGGACTGAATCACATAAGGTCTACTAACAGTCCATTTGCTTTGCTTTGTAACTGATGTTCAAGTAACAGTAAATGCTTGGTCAGCACAGTTCCCATTTGATCTCTGCCAAGGCATTCTTTCTCATTGACTTGCTTTAGCTTCTTCAGCAGCAGTTACTTGGCTCTTTTCCCATGGTGATACTACCTCTTCTGATTCTTGTCTTGTTTAGGATTTTTTTTGAGGGGGGTTTCTTAATTTCTAAACTTAAATATGCCATGCCAAATGCACTTTGAATTCATGGTTTTGCACTTTTCTTTTCAAGTCTTGTTGTCCTGTATTCCACTTGGGAACTGCTTTCACTGAATTAGTGGTTCTCTCTCTTTTTTCTTTTTTCTTTTTTCTACCTCTTCCTGCAGTTTACTGTTGAGTACCTGATTGGCCTTCAGTTGTCCAGAGGTGGTTGGTGTTAAATCCCATCTACCCTAAGCCTGTCTTCATATGGCTAATAAATCTTTAAAGAAGTGATCTTAAAGTGGTATTTCAACAATAAACTTTCCCTTCAGTGACTTCTGGCTTAGAAATTGTGAGCCATTTCTTCTCTTTTAGTCATTGGTGGACGAAGGACTGTCTTCATAGGGCAGCGGGTGAACGAAAGAGGAGGAACGAAGAGAATCTTAGAGCTTTTGGCATGACATAAGCCACTCACAATATTTTCTGTTAATGCACTTTATAATTAATTGCATATTCTTTGTATGGAAAGGTACCTGTGTTGAGTTTTGAACTTGATACCAAAAATAAGACCTTCTTTAGAGCACTGCTTCATGCAGATATTTTGTCTTCCATGACTGGTGTTATAGACCTGATACATAACCTGGTATTGTCTTGAATTTTTGCTTTTGTGATAAATTCGTAAGGTGAATGAGTGATTGAAGCTTTTAAAAGAGATGTAGGAGAACTGTAAAAGGTCCAAAGTGTTGTGCTGTCCCAAAGAAAATGCTCATTAATTTACCTCCTGTAGTTCATGGGTATTGAGATTTTGGCAAAGCCCTTGTTTTTCTTTGCTTGTGATCTCTTATCATCCTCCTCTTGCGCCTTGCCATGTTTAATTTTTTAGTTTGCTTCTCTTTCCTGGGTCATTCTTTTCCATCTCCCCCTGTTCATCCCCCTGGAGTACTGCCTACCACAGAATTTCACTAGGGATTTAGTACTTCATTTTGCATTGTACATTTGCTGCAGACAAATTGACAGGCTTTGTGGGGTAGTAAAAGCATTGTACTTATGTAGCAGGCAGGGATTTGGAGCAACACTCCTCTTCATTTTGTATGCTGAACTATTGTTTGCTAGTGAAATCAGTGCCACATATGCCTCTATTAGGCAATTCTACTGCATATCGTTAAAGGGTGTGAGCAAATTAAGTGCATTTTTAGCTGATCTTTCTTCCCGCAGCACTTTCAGCACAGTAATCCAAGCTATACAAGTTCTTGTCCATGCTAGCACACGCTGTCTCTTTCTCTGAATCCAGATGTGATAGGCAGCAGTGAAATAATGACACTTCTTTAAAATGCTGTTGAAGTAATTTTTCATTACTTGATGGATTTTAGAAAATACTCATTTACACTGCTCTGTTAATGCAGACAACTGTCCTAGTACAATAAATGAGAAATAAAACTGATTCTGTGTTTTTGAATTAACATATTTGATGACAGAGGGGAAGGGAGGGGGAGACAGAGAACTGACCTGTGTCTTATAAGGAGTGTTTACACCTTGACTTGGAATATAGAAAATAGAAGTGCAGATAGCTATTTTATTTGAATCATGGACTTGCCAATTAGCCATCAAGTGCTTCCATCTGTGAAATAGTTGATCAGATGGGTTAGCTGGGATGTTTCCAGATTAGGGCATTGTAAATGGCACTTGAAAACTGTCACTTTGATTATGAGGTTTCAAGCATTGCACTGCTTGGTGCTGTGGAACCTTTTTCCCCTCATATGAACATGGTTTTTTTAGAACATGTTATCCTATTTAGTAAATCTATGGCACTGTGGGAACTTGGGAGACCTGCCACTGATCTAAAGTTCTGTTTCATCTGCCGATCTAGGCAGGATGGTTATTAGAGGAGAACACTGCTGTCTCAGTATTCTGCAGGGCTTCAGAATAGATGTTGGTGATCTGGCAGGCAAAGGAGGGTCAGGCTCAGTGTAGATCATTCCCAATTAACAATTAAATACAAGTTTCTCGAGTTACTTCATTAAGCTGATGTGTCTCTTGAAGTACATGACTTGTTCTTGCATCTTCCATATGTAAACAAGAAAAGATCAACAAAAAAAACTCAAACCCAAAACAAACCCAGACACCCCCATCCCCCCTTTCCAGAAAAAAAACTGCACCAAAAACCCAACCAGGAAAAATTCCAGCACTTTAACATTTATTGAAAGTTATTTTGGTTCATTGATTTTTTGAAACAGGTTGGGTTTTAATTTGAAGGGAGCAAATGTGTTGTCTTTCATGAAGTGCTTTTTTTCTTTGGAAAGCTGTTGAGTGTTCTGGTATCTCAGTACCTGTTGCACCTTCATGACTTAGAATCATAGAATCAACTAGGTTGGAAAAGACCTCAAAGATCAAGTCCAACCCTACCATCATTACTAGACCATGGCACAAGTGCCACATCCAGTCTCATCTTGAAAACCTCCAGGGATGGTGAATCCACCACCTCCCTGGGCAGCCCATTCCAATGTCTGATTACTCTCTCTG